TGCTGCCTCACGCCCTGCGTGGGTTTTCCTCTGCACCCCCCTCCCACCCCAGGGGGCCTTGCAGTGAGGATACACCAACTCGGAGCTTACCAGCTGCTGTCCTTTATACAGTTTCCATCTCCGGTACCTGGCCTCATGTTTTATGGCACATGACCCAGCCCGACAAAGTGACATTTATGTCAGATCTGGCTCTTGTAACAAATGAGTTTGACACCTCTGCTCTATGGCATTATACCATAGGCTGGACTCCACCCTCCCCAGACTCCACCCTCCACATATCCAAGAATTTCCCAACCCAGAGCTGGTAACATCACACATGCAACCTCCCAGCAGAGGCATGGTACGAAGTAAGAGCTAGATCACAAAATCTTAGTGGTGGTGGAAAGTGGGGTCAAGTCACAACTGCCTTACGGTGACTCCAGAGGGGTGGTTTGCCAGAGGGGTGGTTTGCCATTGCCTGCCTCTGCATGGAAACCCTGGACTTCCTTGGTGGTCTCCCATTCAAGCACCAACCAGGGCCGACTCTGCTTAGCTTGGGAGATCTGATAAGGCTGGACCAGGGGTCGTTTCGTAGAAAAAGAGCTAGGGGAACTCATTAGCATAACTCATTAGCATATGCCACACACCCTGCCATCACCGGAAGTGTATCATAAGGCCACACCCACCACTCAGTCTTCGTCTTAAAGGTTAGTCTTAAAGGTGCTATTTGAACTCTTGGACTATTTTGCAGCAACAGACTAACACAGCTAATTCCTCTGAATCTAAACCCACCACTCAGGCTCCACCCCCAAAATCCATCTGGGGCCTGGCGGTGGACCTGAAAGGCCGGCGGGAGTGCGAGGAAGCCCCGCCAAGGCCCTCCCTGGCCCCAGGCAGGCAGGGGTGGGGAGAGGCGGGGAGGAAGCAACTTACCCTCCCTCTTCTCCTGCCTCCTCCTAAGCAGGGGGCGGGGCTTCGTCATGTGCCCCACCCCCCGCACCTCACCCGGGGGAACTGCGTTCCCCCGCGATCCCCCCCGAAATGACTTCTGGGCTGGACTAGTCTGGGCCATCCGGGTTAGGCCCACATATCCCTATAGGCCCCCCACGCCACCATCCTGAAAATGACCAAGATTTTAATTTTGTTTTGCTACAATCTTAAGATTTATTTTTTAAAAAAAAATCAGCACGGAGGTGGCAAATTTGGGCACGAAAACAGTCTAAAGGGAGAGGGTAAGTGACTCCCCCCCCCATGGTCTTTCCATTTAAACCACAGCTATGGTATATAAAATTAAAAACCTTCCTGTAAAGGAATCACAGAACTACAGGGTGACATTCACTTCCACCCTAACTCTCAGCTCCATCCAATGCTCTCTCTAAGCTGTGTAGTCTTGTGAGCAAAAACTCTACTTTGAGAGCTACTGGCATTACTGTTGTCAGCGAGGAATTTTGCAAATGCATAAATTAGTTTGCTCTGGAGCAAATAGAAGTAACGAACATGAAATTGAGCAAACTTCAGAGGACGGCGGAAGACAGGAGGGCCTGGCGTGATCTTGTCCATGGGGTCGCAAAGAGTTGGACTCGACTGTGCGACTGAACAACAACAAGGCTATTTTTTTAATATAGTTGGAGTAAGCCCTATAGTCTGTCTCCATTTTGTTTACCAGTTAAGCCTACTACTGGAGCGATGATCTCACTGAGCACCCTCTTCAAGTCTTCCCGATCCGTTTCAGGAACCCCCTGAAACCTGAGAATCATGTTAGCTTTTTCCATCTGAAGCTGCAAGACTCGATTCTCTTGCTCCCGTCCTTTTCTTCAACTTCTTACTTGTGGTGTCAATCTCTTTAATTTTCTCGTTTGCCTGCTCCACTTTTTTCTCCGTCTCATTCAGCTGAAGCTGCTGTGCCACAAAGTTTTTATTCATCACAGTCAACT